TAGTCATCTGAAGTCAAATTATTCATGTTACTACAAACTACACACTTACGTCTCTTTCTCATTTCTTTTTTTTATACTAAATTCTACACATACTTAATAATTATATTTAGAAAAAGTTTCATAACTTTTTTTAGCAATAAGCAGAAAATTTTAATATATAATTTTATTATATACTTTTTAATTAATTTTTTAAAAAAAATCTATACCAAAGTCGCTGAATAACTTGGACAATCTGAAAATGCAACGTCACCGTAGACGAAAGTTTTAATATATTTGGTACAATAACAACACAAGAGTTTTAAACTATGATCTGCATGTAATTCAAAGATGGTAGGCACATCTAAAATCAAGATAACACTTGTCGCCCATTTAATATTTTAATATAATCTCTTCGCCAATGACGTGTCAGATACAGTAAAGTATTCCAATGATGAAAAATTCTTCATCGACTTATATTTTCTATAAACTGCTTTTATTGTTTAATGATTTCCCTTTTAGTTGCAAATGGTAGACCTAAAACCAAGGAAAGCTCAGCAACACATTGACAATTGTAACCTTTTGCTGCTTCTAATTCCATTTGTTTTCATGTAATCTCTCTATCTCCCTTGAATGTTTCCTTTGTAAGAAAATTTAAAAAAAAGAACCCTCTATGAAATTAATGAATCGTAAAAAAAGATATTTTTTTACTTTATTATAATATTATATATTTTTAAAAATAATTTAAAAATATTATATTAAAGTTTTTATTGTTTAATTTTATATTATTATTGTAAAAATATAATTTTATATAATTTTTTTCTCTATTTTATCTATCATCCAACATATCTTAAAATGGCAGTCATGGCTTATAATTACTGGTTAGGAGTTGTTTGAGATAAGAGTTTTAAAAAGGAAGGGAGAAGGAAATTTGTTAATTTTAAATAAGTATATAATTAATATTTTTAAATAAAAAGATGAATTGGTATATTAATATATATTTAATATATTAATTATATATTTATTATGACATAATATATAATTTTCTGAATTTTAAATTAAAATAATTAATTCTGTCCCTACCTCAAGCATACTTACAGTGAGGCAAATAATTATAACAAGAAAATGGTAAGATCGTTGTGCAGTAAGTCAATGAATAGTTTAATTTAGATAAACGTTGCTTTCATCGGTTCAGCTTTCTTCTCCTGTGCTACATTTTTTTTATAAAATGTTTGTCTTTGGTTATCTATTGTTTTTAACATTTTAACATAATACTAATTACTTTTTTATTAATTACATCTTTAATTTTAAATCAAAACAATTATTTAATAAAGGAACAAAGAGATATATCAAATAATAAAAATAAATTATTTTCACTAGTATAAGAATTTTAAGTAAAATAAATAAATAAAAATTTACTAACCATTGAACATGTGAATGGATTAGCAGAAATTACTTAATGATTGTGTGGAAGTAGAACATGATTATTCGTATTTAAATAAATAAAATGCAAAATTATTGTGAAAGTGAAGGGAAGAGAACAAATATTATATCGTTGACGGCCCAATGAAAAGATCAGCAGCACGTAACCACTCTCACAAGGAAAATGCATGGCTACGCAGTCAATTTCGGCGGCGACGCCCCCCAAAGCTGAATTGCAGTGCATTTTTCGGATAATAATATATATTTGTAATTAAAATATAAAACAATTTGAAAAAATAAAATTTTAGTTTTTGTTATTTTCTATTTTTTTTCCTCATAAAGAATAAATGTAAACTTTTTTATTTTTATATTAATTCTATGTCGACCAAAATAAATAAAGCATTAATACATGCTTGTCAAAGTTTATATTTTAATATGTTTTATAGATCATAATTTTATAATTTAACTGTTAAATTGTGTGATGTATATTATTATGAATTTTAAACTTTAGATAGTTTAATATTTATATAAATAAATTTTAGTAATAAAAAAAATACTTAACATTGTAAATTGTAATATTATTTTACCAAGTAGAAAATTTGATAAAAAAAAGTTTAGAAAATGAAAATATAACTGAAATTTTTATTTTTAAATAAATTCACTAAATTAAAAGAAATAAACATTTATTTTAATTATCATAAATCAAGTTTAATAAACACATCTACATGTAATAGTTATTATTAGTTGTTCACCTCTTTAAAAAATATATATTTTAAATTAAAAAATTATATATTACTTATAATAATAAATATATAATTAATATATTAAATTTATATCATTATATCAATTTATATATTTTATTTTAAATATATTTATTTAAAATACATATTTTATCTTTTTTTTCAAAACTCTTATTCTCAAATAACACGTGAATATCAGTGTAAACTATAACTCATAGTTCACCTCAATTAGCCGTCAAGTAACTTCTTTTTTATTTTAAGCATATATGTAGTCGATTTTATTTTTTGTCTTTAAGTGTCAATATATTAAAAATAATGTAAACTAAAGTCAAGGTTAGAGATGAGTTATCACTTTTTTTAGAAAATTAATAATTATTATAATTTTTTTAAATAAAAGACATATGTGTTAGTTTATAATTTGTATTTAAAATTAATTAAAAAATATATTTTCAAATATAAAAAATTTATTAAATTAAATTATTTTACTTTAAAAATAAATTCTATCAAATTAAAATGAATTAAAATTAAAATTTGTAAAAGTTCATTATTTTTTACTAAGTTGGTAAATTATTTTTTTATTCATAAATTTTGTAATATTAAGTATTATATATCTCTAATTTTCATGATAACTATATTAAATTTACTTGGTTTTTAAATATATTAAATTTCATTTAAATAAATTATTTTGATAATAAATAATTTAATAAATTTAGCCAGTGTTGTTTTATATTATCTACTTTGTATGTTTACTGGGACTTTTAAATATTTGTTGAAGATGTTCTTATAATAATTTTATATAAATAAATAAAAATAAAATAATAATATAAAAATATTAAAATGTAAAAAATTTATGATTAATACTTGAATAATAATATAAAATAATATACTATAAAATTATTCATAAAATTATATAAATAAAAAATTTACTATAATTTAATAATTTCAATACAAACAAAAACTAGATAAATATGTAACCTAATTTGATAAATGAATTATAATATTTTATTTAATATTAGTTAATAATAAAAATTCATTTTAAATATTTAATATTATAAAAATTTAATTATTTTTTAGCAATTTTTTTTATAATTTACACTTGTCTAATTACTATTATGTCATTTAAGACGAGTACTTGTATCCTGTGAAAATTTAAATTAAAGAATGCAGAATAATTTACCTTATTTTTTTCTTATTCCTGTGACACGAAACAAAGTGTCAATGTTGCTTAAACTTACACGAAATGGACGCTTTCATGTGAACTTTTTATATGAGAAGATTGGGAAACAAAAAGGCATGTGACGCATAAGAATGGTCTCACAATTTTTAATATCAAAAATATTTTTTCATACCCTCAACAACGTAAACGTATTGAGAGAAAATGATAAGAAGAAAAATAAGGAAAAAAAAAAAGAAATAAATGTGATGTGCAATAAGATAGTGTGAACTCAATTTATTCATTCTCTTGTCACTTTTTTATTTTCTTTCTCAAATAAAATAATGCATAAGGGTAAAAAAAAATTTAATGTCAATTTTAATAAGCTCTACTTTATGATATTTGTACTCTCTTTTTCCATATGAGGGCAAAAAGTTGCGCTTAATGATTTTTTAAATATTTTTTTAATAACTATTTACTAAAATAAAATTAAAAATAAATATATTCTTAATCTAGAAATTTTTTTTGCCACATTAGATTATATTTGTATTTAAGAAAGATAAAATTATTTTTTTTATTTTTAATTTATCCATTTCATTTAAAATAGAGACAAAATTAGGAGAACGTGACACATGTCACATGTTTTGTATACAACAAGGATAAAAAAAAATTGAATTTAAATTTGCAGTTCTATGAACACACTTGGTTTGGAAGAGAAAAATAAATAAAGTGTGTTAATGGAAAAAGAGAGTAAAGTAAATAAGTTGTGCTGTGTGAATTGTGTAGATTGAGAAAATATTAAATGAGATTAATAGTGGAGAGAGAAAAATAAATGAATTGTGTTATTGAGAGAGGGAGAAAAAAAATTAATGTTCTCCTTTTTTTCACTAACACAATTTATTTATTTTTCTCTCTCTATTATCAATCTTATTTAATATTTTTTCATGAATCTACAACTTTAACACAACAAAACTCATTTATTTTTCTCTTTCTTCTCATTAACACAATTTATTTATTTTTCTCTTCCTCTCCTTACTGGACCACATGTGTCTACAAAACTACAAACTTAAATTTAAATTTTTATTTTACTTTTTTATTTCTATTGTATATGAATCACGTTCTGGTTGATTTTATTTTTATTTTAGATGAAATAGACAAATTAAAAATAAAAAAATTAATTTTATCTCTTTTAAATATGAAATATAGTCTGACGCTATAAAAACTTGTCTCAAATAAAGAATATATTTATTTTTAATTTTATTTTAGTAAATTGTTATTAAAAAAATCGTTAATCCAAAAAGTTGCGCCTATAATTCCTTCTTTTTGTTTCTGGGGTAATAGCCAAAACACCTTTCTGATGCACGTAAATTGGCACATCATTTCAATATTGTCTTTGTAGTTTTATTTTCTTGCATTCAAGAACTATCATTCAAGTTGAAACTCTTACTAGTACTACTACTTTGACTACTTATTTTGCAATGGTTCTTGCCTTCCGGTACATGACATGCCATTACTAATTATTTATGTAAAAATGTAATGGAAAGATCATGCAAATCCAACCACATGATATATCACCAACTCAATTATTCAACCCAACAAGACAACAACTAATATGTATCGGTCCCATAATAACAAGGAAGCTAGCACCGTCAATGTTGAAACTTTCTTTGTCCACTTAACCCATAATCTTTGTTTCTCTGCATGCACGTGGATCATTTACTCTATGTGAAACCAAACCCAAAACTTCAACTTACAACTCACCCTTTATTCCATTTTCACGTACGTCACTCTTACACAGACCCAACCTTCACTGCCGGCATGTTCGCCGGAGGAATTTTCCGACATGGCTTTCTCACTGCTCTGCTCTTCCTCTGCCTCGTTACTTCCTCCCTATCAGAAGAGCTTCAATCACTCATGAAGCTGAAGTCGTTTCTCCAAAGTTCAAATGAAAGCGTTTTCAGTTCTTGGACAGAAGCAAATTCTCCATGCCACTTCACCGGGATTGTGTGCAATTCCAATGGTTTTGTTTCAGAAATCAACCTTGCACAGAAACAACTAGTGGGTACTCTCCCTTTTGATTCAATATGTAAGCTTCAATCGCTTGAGAAGATCTCTTTGGGGTCCAACAACTTGCATGGAAGCATTAGTGAGGAGTTGGTGAATTGCACAAACTTGAAGCACTTGGATTTGGGTGTGAATTCGTTCAATGGACCAGTGCCTGATTTGTCACCTTTGAACAAGTTAGAGTACTTGAATTTAAATGCTAGTGGAATTTCTGGGTCATTTCCATGGAAGTCGTTGGAAAATCTAACTAGTCTTACATTCCTAAGCCTAGGAGATAACATATTGGATAAATCTCCTTTCCCTTTGGAGGTCTTAAGGCTTGAAAAATTGTATTGGCTTTACCTCACAAATTGTAGCATCACAGGAAATATTCCATTGGGTATTGGGAATCTCACTCAGCTTATTAATCTTGAACTTTCTGACAACTATTTATCTGGTGAGATTCCAGCTGATATTGGAAAGCTTCAGAGGCTATGGCAACTTGAGCTATATGATAACAGTTTGAGTGGGAAAATTCCAGTGGGATTTGGTAACCTTACCAATCTTGTTAACTTTGATGCTTCAAGTAACCAACTTGAAGGAGATCTTTCTGAGCTAAGGTCCTTGACGAGCCTTGCATCCCTTCAGCTTTTTTGGAACCACTTCTCTGGAGAAATTCCAAAAGAGCTTGGAGATATCAAAAACCTCACAGAACTTTCTCTTTATGGTAACAATCTCACTGGTCCTCTTCCTCAAAAACTAGGATCCTGGATAGGCATGGAATTCATTGATGTTTCAGACAATTCTCTTTCTGGTCCTATACCACCTTACATGTGCAAGAACAACCAAATCACTGACCTAGCCCTGATGAACAACAGCTTCAACGGGACTATACCAGAGACTTATGCAAGTTGCACGTCTTTGCTTCGTTTTCCCCTAAGTAGGAACTCACTCTCGGGTGTTGTTCCCTCAGGTATATGGGGCTTGCCAAATCTGGAACTGCTTGATCTTAGTATGAACAGTTTTGAAGGTCCAGTGACATCTGATATTGCCAAAGCAAAATCTCTAGCACAGCTGTTTTTATCTGAGAATCGGTTCTCGGGTGAGTTACCAGTGGAAATCTCAGAAGCTGTTTCATTGGTATCAATTCAACTGAGTTCAAATCAAATTTCTGGTCACATCCCAGAAACCATTGGCCAGTTGAAGAAACTAACTAGTCTTACTTTGAATGAGAACAATCTTTCTGGTATTATACCAGATTCTATTGGTTCATGTACTTCTCTTAATCAAATAAACCTTGCTGGTAACTCTTTTTCTGGCTCAATACCAGCTAGTATTGGTTCTCTTCCTACCATCAATTCATTGAACTTGTCCTCAAACAGGCTTTCTGGTGAAATTCCACCAACTTTATCATCTCTCAGACTTAGCCTTCTTGATTTGTCAAACAACCAGTTGTTTGGTTCCATACCAGAATCACTGGCTATTTCTGCCTTCAAAGACGGGTTCAAGGGAAACCCTGGCTTATGCAGCCAGACTTTGAAAAATGTTAGGTCATGTTCATTGGAATCCAGCAGCACCAGGAGACTCAAAAACTTTGTAGTCTGTTTCATTTCTGTTTTAGTGATTCTGCTTGTTGCTTCATGCTTCCTCTTCACTAAACTGAGGCAGAACAAGTTTAAGAAGCCACTGAAGACTAATTCTTGGAATGTGAAGCAATACCATGTGATAAACTTCAGTGAGAATGAAATCATTGATGATATCAAGGCTGAAAATTTGATTGGCAAAGGAGGATCAGGGAATGTTTACAAGGTTGTGCTTAAAAGTGGGGAAGAATTTGCTGTCAAACACATATGGACTTCTAATCCAAGTGACCAAGGAAGTTTCAGGAGCACCTCAGCTATGTTAAGAAGGGGTTCCATCTCACCTGAGTATGATGCAGAAGTGGCCACTTTGAGTTCTATAAGGCATGTGAACGTGGTGAAGCTCTATTGTAGCATCACAAGTGAAGATAGTAGTTTGCTTGTTTATGAGTTCTTACCAAATGGGAGCTTGTGGGACAGGTTGCACACCTGTAAGAAGACTCAAATGGGGTGGGAAGTTCGGTATGACATTGCAATGGGTGCTGCTAGAGGATTGGAGTACCTACATCATGGGTGTGATAGACCTGTTATACATAGGGATGTCAAATCCAGTAACATATTGCTTGATGAGGAATGGAAACCAAGGATTGCTGATTTTGGACTTGCCAGGATTGTGCAGGGAGAAGCAGGCAATTGGACACATGTCATTGCAGGAACACTAGGATACATGCCTCCTGGTATGCTTTAAATCACCTTATTTTTTATTAAAGAAAAAAAATGTCATGTTAGCTTCTAGTTATAATGTTTTTATAATGTAACAAAAAACGGCACACATAAAAAGGATCACATACTCATATTTTGTGATTGTTAAAATAATTAATCCAGTATAGTTGTTTAGGAGAGTGTTAGTGAAATTTTCACTTGTTGGCTTATAGTACTTGAAAACTGATAATGTTAATTTTTGATATGACAGAGTATGCCTACACATGTAAGGTGACAGAGAAGAGTGATGTTTACAGCTTTGGGGTAGTCCTGATGGAGTTGGTAACAGGGAAGAGGCCTATAGAGCCAGAGTTTGGAGAGAATAAGGACATTGTGTTTTGGGTATGCAGCAATATTAGGAGCAAAGAAAATGCACTAGAACTGGTGGATCCTGCCCTTGCAAAGCATTTCAAAGAAGATGCCATGAAGGTGTTGAGAATAGCAACATTATGCACTGCCAAAATTCCAGCTTCTAGACCCTCAATGAGAATGTTGGTTCAAATGCTGGAAGATGCAGACCCTTTCACCACAGCCAAAATGATTGTGACCATAGATGGTTGAAACAAGTTACACCAAATAATGAACAATTTTTCTCTCAACACAGACATTTCTAGTAAATATCTAAATATGTCTTGATGTTGAGTTCAATTTGGTGGACTTTTATCAAGGCAGTAATCTCTAGTTGAAAGATGTCCTGTAGTTAGAATGGATTACGCTCATAGTTTGAAACATGTGCTAGTGATAAACCAAGAGAGGACTAGCTCTTACCTTGTAGCTTTGTAGCATATGTGTAGCAGTAATGAAATTCTCTTTCTAATCGAATTATAATTTTCTCTTGGGATTAGCTCGTAGCTTTGTGCATGTGTACCTTTTACCCAATTGAATCAAAGCTACTAATTTTATTTTTTTTAGCATAAATTGGCTATAAGAAAATGTCACCACTCACGGTTTTATTATTTAGACGATATCTCAAGCTGCGGGACAAGTTTTGAGCCGATTCCTGATTCATTTCAAAGATCTCGTCAAATGGAGAAGAAATGTTTATTTCTTAGGATACTAAAAATCAAAACTATCAAATATTTCACAACGCAATTACATATAAATGATTAATCTTAACAAGTTATTTGAATCAATGTCTGTAAGTAAGGTGATCCTTACTTGATAAAGTTGAAAATGGGACAGAAAAAATTGAATTCATTAATAAGAGATAATTATGCGGATTGTTGTAGGTTAGTGGTGATTACACAAAGACCTTGTTTGTTTTAGAAATTATACCCATCTTTCTTATACATTCCTTACTTTGTTATTTTTAAAGATAATATGTGCATGGTTTGGTTTATACATTAAAAAAGAATGATCATTTTTAAAGATAAAGATATCAATATATAAACATAATATAGAAATAAAAATATAAAGATTATTTAGTTGTTAGAATAATATAATAAGACATGATATTTTCCCTATCCTATTTTACTTTTTGTGTATAATAATTTATTTTGTTAAGTTATCATATCATATTTATATAGTTCAAATTCTTATTTTGAAGAGGATGGTGATAGCTTAGGAAATAAAAGGACATGATTTTATTTTTCCTTTTACTTTCTTACTCATATTTTATATCATTTTTAATATATTTTTTTAAAATACCTATTAAAAAAAGAGAAATTTAATACTTTTATAAAAATATATTAAATAAACATTTTCTTAATAAAAATATTTTTAAAAAATATTTTCCTCATTTTATAAAATATAATTTAAAATATTTATAATTTATTTATATTTTATATTATATTTTCTTACAAATAATAAATTTTAATTTAAAAAAGTGATAAATGTATTATAATTTATTATCATTTTTCAATATTGCATGTACAAAAAAAATAATGTTTAATGTATATATTTTTATTAAAAATAAAACAAATTAAATAAAAATATATTTTAAAAATTTATATTAATTTTGATAAAAGAGTAATTTTATTATTTAAATATAATTTATATCTTATTTTATTATTTTTTATTTATCTTAAATATTAAACAAGATAATATTGAACATAATATTATTTGTTTTACTATCTTAGGATTCATTTGGTGAACAAAATAAAAGAAAAAATTCATGGGATAGAAAGATAGATAAATATAAAATATGATAAATTTTTATCTTATCACATGTTTGATGTACATTAGTATAGTAAAATAGATAACATTATGTCATTATTTTTAATGTTTGAGATAAATAAAAAATAATAGAACAAAATATATTTAAATAAAAAATTATTCTTTTATCAAAATTAATGTAATTTTAACAAATATTTAAATTTTATACTTTTAAATATATATATATATATATATATATAGTAAAACTTTAGAAATAATTTTTATGTATATATAATATAAAAAATATATTATTTCTTAAAAATAATTTTTTTAAATGTTCATATATTTTTTTATAAAAATATAAAAATTATATATTTTTAAAATATAAAAAAGTAAATATGAGTAATAATGTAAATTATGTAATAAAAAAAGTTATTTTTATCCTGATTATTTCTAACACTAACACTTCTTTAAGATAAGAATTTGAACTATAATGATAAATAGGACAACTTAGTAGGATAAATTTATTATATCATGTTAATTGAAAAAATCAGAAATAAAACAAGATCATCTTATTCTATCTACAAAACGAACCAATATTAAATATAGAATATGATAAGAATGTATTTTATATCCTGTGTCTAACTCATATCTTATATTTTTTTTAAGCTTAAATATAATAATTAACAACCTTCAGAAAAATCTCTGAAATTATCTTAATAAAAAAATATGCATACATAAAGTATAATAATCAATATTCATTTGGCTGGCATCTACTGTTATAAACAACTAAACAATAAAACAATATTTGAAAAAATTGCTTGCATTTTGAGGCTGGGCTAACAAATACGCATTCTCTGTCCTGACTCATCTCTGATATCAATGTATGCAAAAAGAAAAACCCATCACTTCACTCCCAATGAGAGGCATAGCAAGCCATGACTTAACTGTCCAATCCTTCGGGCTTTTGAAATATTTTTGGTTCATCGGCTTTTGAATTTGATAGTGAGAACTCATTTACAATGTCTTATTTCTTAAAAGAAAATTCATGTCATCCATTCAAATGCATGACTAAAAGAGGAGCTGGAGTTATCAAACTTTTTTCTGGTCCACCTTTTATCATTCTTCAAAAATAAGTCTTATTAAGATCTTGGGCCTGGTCAGTCCAAAACAATCAACCCCGTGTTTCCACTCAGCTGTGATAAATCAAAACTAGCCCAAAACAACAAAGACCATGACCAAAATTATAAAACAACAGCAGCAAATACTTGAATTGTAAAAAGTTGCAAATAAAAGTTACATACGTGTTTTCACAATAACAATAATGTTCTTGTAAAGGATACGCTAATTTATTGTAGCTCTCTCCTCTTATACTGCTGTAACGTAAGATTCTTAAAAGAATATTTTAGATTTTTCTTGTCTACAAGGAGAGAGTACTTGTAATAGCGTGATCAAGTAAATACTTAATATAAAATAATAAATATTATTAAATATTTTAAAGTTAATTTTTTATCTATCTTTTTTATTTTTTTTTTATAAATATAATATTAGACTAACGAGCTTGATGAGTCAACTCTAAATTAATCATTTGATTACTTAAATAATTAATTTTTTATTATTAGTTATTTACTTTAATTAGTTCATTAATTTATTTTAAGATAATCAAGTGTTAATATCTCTCGTCCTTTGATATAGCCAAAAGAGTACTAGTACCTCTCGTCCTATTATGGGACCGGAGGATGCTAGTAACTCTCATCCCATTGTAAGGTTAGAGAGATGCTGGTATCTCTCGTCCCATTATAAAGTCAAAGAAGTGTTCATTTTCTGATTAATTTAAAAATGACTAAATATTATTTTATTTAGTATAAATAATAAAAAATTATGCATTATTTTGTGTGAAGGTCCTAACTTAGTCAGATATTTTTTATTTGATGTAGTATTTGATTATAACCCATATTAAAAAAAAAGGAAGATTGATTAAGGTATAAACTAAAAAACAACAAATGTATAGCGGGATTGACTTGTTTGTACGAAGGCAAGGAATCAAATTTAAAAAGAATGTAGCCAACAAAAGGTAGGACAATATCACAATTTACAAATGATAAGGTACACAATTATCGAGAGTGGGTGTGCATGCACATGATTCTTACGTTGCCAAGTGCGAATTGGAAAATGAGAATCACTGACACAAGTTCATAAACCATAACCCTTAAGAATGAAGTTGGGTTTTGGTCCAAACACCCTCCCTTCCTCAGCCTTGTCACCTTCCCTAATTTTCAGCCTTCCCATCTCACTCCCATTGTCTCAGTCCCAATCCACATTTTCAGGTGCGCTCTCTCTCTCTCTCTCTCTTCTCTCTCTCGTTTAGGTAAATTAGGTGGTTTTTCAATTATGTGATAGAATTATATTATTTGGGCTACCAGTTTCCTCAAAGTTTGTGTCTTTTTGAGGTCAAAGAGGATGCCCTGTTCCGATTAAGTTTACTTTACACTGATACTTAATGTTTCACTTTGTTCTCCATTTTTTACCCTCTGAATGTTAAATTATGTTTAACAAGTTTGTATTTTTCATGCGGGTCTGCTAAAAGTTGTGTTGTTGGTTGATGTGCAGGGAGAAAGAGCTTAGTTTTTCGTGTGCAAAATACTGTTAATAAAATTGAGTCAACACCTAGTAATTTGATGGCTTCAGAACAGGAATTTCCAGAACTAAACAGAAATCTTTACCCGCATATAGAACCTTACAGTACAGGTTTTTTGAAGGTTTCAGATCTTCACACAATCTACTGGGAGCAATCAGGAAACCCCAGTGGGCAGGTGAGTAGTAATTTCCCCGATAACCGCTTAAATATGATTTTTTTTTTTTTAAAATAACTTATCTAAATTTTTGGAAGGTAATCAAGGTATGCAGTAGGCTTATATGTTTATGTTAGTTGATGTAGACTAGAACGAAAGCAATGAACTATTATTTATTTGTTCTATGTGGATTGTTTATTTATGCTACTGAATGAACTGTAATGTTAAATTGCCCCATTGATTCTCATGTAGAATTGCATGTCACTTCCTTGGCCACGTTTTTAAAAGGACATAAATAGTTCTTCTGTTGTGCTTCATCTATTTAATGGGTATCTTAGTTTGTTGGGAAAGGACCTCAATTTTATGGGAGGAATTGGAATATGGAAGTATTCTACTCTTTATTTCACATTCACAATAACTTTTTCACTGTGAGTTTATTAGTTTGTGAATTACTGAATTCCTTAACCCTAATAGCTTGTTAAATGCATTTAATTCCATTACCCTTCAAAACAGAATGGAAAGCCAAAAAGAGAAAACGGAAAATTGAAGTAATTTTGGTCTATCAATAGATTTGCAATTTGCCTATTAATTATTATGCAAGCATTTGCCTCCCTTTGTGAAAGCTAGATTTCACACATTGACACTCTGGTTGTTTTACATTTATTTAATTTTGATAAGATGGGAAAAAATTTTAGCAAAAATGATTCGTCATGTTCTAAGCATTTTCCTGGCAGCCGGTTGTCTTCCTTCATGGAGGTCCTGGAGGGGGAACTTCCCCTAGTAATCGGACATTTTTTGATCCAGACTTTTACCGAATCATTCTATTTGATCAGGTTAGTTTCCAAACTGTAGGGTGTAATAAGGTCTCCAGCTTTCATTCAATGACAATTATCCTCTTTATCAGCGAGGGGCAGGGAAAAGCACGCCCCATGCTTGCTTAGAGCAAAACACCACATGGGACCTCATTGATGACATTGAAAAACTAAGAGAACACTTGGAGATTCCAGAATGGCAGGTTAGTTTTCACCTCTGGTTGTTTACCATTATACATTTTGTGATTTTTACATGATGGGATATGATCTTCTCTGCCTTGTATAATATGCAGGTATTTGGTGGATCATGGGGAAGCACACTTGCCCTTGCATACAGCCAATCTCATCCAGACAAGGTGTATAATTTTGTTTTCAATTTTGGTTGATGTCTTTCTTACCATAACAAAATGATGCCTGATATATTTATTTGTCATTATTATTTTATTTCTAGATTAATTTTTATTTTTATTTTTGCAATGCTGCTGAAGATTGTGTAATCTATTAAGGAGTTTTTCCATGCTATGTTGTTCACTTTTTAAAACATCTTATCATTTTGACAAGGTCACTGGCATGATCCTTAGGGGAATTTTCCTTTTAAGGAAGAAAGAGATTGATTGGTTTTACGAGGGTGGTGCTGCTGCAATATTCCCGGATGGTATTAAACAGTCTTTTTAGCTATTTTCTGGTTAATTAAGTTTGAATATTTTCCATGCATAATAAGCGACCTTCAATGACTTGAAGAAATTCTCAACTTATGTGATACATGGAGTTATGTCAGAGCTTTATGTCAGTAGTTTCTTAGCATGTGGGAACTATAATTGTTTCCAATGAGGAATATGAAATGAGAAGCAATGCTTATGATCACTAGTTTTTACTCAATTTTTTTGATAATTTAGTGTTTTCCATTGTAGCTTTGCATAATTTCATATTTGATTTGATGGTGATCTCTGCCTTTCTGCTTATTAAAATGATGTTTAAAGTGGTTGATATTTGTTGTCTTGTGTCAGCGTGGGAGCCATTTAGAGATCTTATTCCAGAAAATGAGAGAAGATGCTTCGTTGATGCTTATCAGAAGAGATTAAACTCTGCTGATATCAATACTCAGGTGAGTGTCTGTGGTTTTCTGAGCTTGTCTTCTACCTTTTCCTCCCATAATCATAGCTATATTTCTTCTTTAAATATTAGTTTGGTTGAATAGCTACTGTTCCATAATCATAACAAGACTTCTTAGAACTTAGTACAAAGAGTTAACAATATTTGAACTAGTTTAGAAGGCTATCATTAACAGTACCAACAGATCCTCATATCTGAAATGAGGAACAATGAATGATCTTCTCTGTGAGCTTGTTACCTGACCGAATTATCTAGAGTAGTTTTAAGTGTATATTAAGTTGAGTGCCATTTTACACACGGGTTTTTCTATTTAACTTAGTGGGTTCATGCAGCAGTCTCTTTTTGTTTCCCTTGTCTACATCCTGCCGAAAGATTTTCTGTTTTGGTCAATATTCTTCCAAAAGATATTGGCCCCTTTCTAGAATAACACTTGTTTGACTCATAGTAGATAATAGTGCCACTATTGTGGCAGGGTGGCTCTCCAGCATGACACAATGTGCATAGTGTTGTAGTTTTGTGTAGTAGCCAGAGCTGTGCAAATTGCAGCTGCAATCATGGCAAATCATGGTTGTCAAAGCTGCTATATGTTGGATGAGGGAAATGTCCCTCATTTTCTGAACATTAAAGAGGAACAATCTTGGAATTTCGGCCCCCTTTTATATTGTGGGTGTCTGCTGCACACTGTTGTATCGTTTGAACTGAGTATTCTCAAGTCCTAGGTGCTCCGACAACTTCTGCTGTGGTGACACCCGCTCATTTCTTATGTTACCCATATGTGCCAGCCAAAATCAGGTTCTGTTCACTACTTCTAGTCAAGTTCTAGTCATCATCTTCATCTCCAGCAAGACCTGCATCTTCTCTCTTCTGTTTATAATTTTGATTTCAAACTATTGAAATTTGAAAGTCTCAAACTTTCACTTTGATAATTAATTATGAATATGTCTTTAATCTTCTTACACTGGTATAAGTTTAAAAACTCTTACACTCGATCTGAGTCTTTCATTTAACTTACATCTAACAGGTTATTATATATATATATATATATTATATTTCAAAACATCAAAATAGCGGTCATCCCACTATAGAATTTTTGGAATCAGCTGCTCATCCTGGCTATTTGAAATTTACTACTATGGTTTGAATATCATTTTATGAATGGATTCAAGAATTTTGTTTACTTATCTGCGACTTCATTCTTAGTATGCAGCTGCTAGCGCATGGACCAAATGGGAAATGATGACTGCTCGTCTTCTTCCAAATGAAGAGAACATCAAAAGGGCAGATGATGATAACTTTTCACTGGTGAGTTCATCAAGAAGAGTAATACAGATTTTGGTTGGTAAAAAATTGATAGTTCATTTTCAATTTGTATCACATATTCTGTAACTTCCATAATTTTTAAAGCTTATTTCCCCAAACTCTCAATTTTGCTGTATGTATCATTGAGAATGTCTGGTATGGCATTGCTCATGTAAGACTTTGCAATTCAAATATAAATCTTATAAAATAATATATAACAATTATATGGATACTTTTGCATTTTCTAAAATTTAAAGTGCACAAACTTTACAAATCTCTGTTGCATATGTTAGTTATTTTTTTTGGGTGGTCTTGAGTTCTGTTATTAGGTTGTAGAAAACGTTTTCTCTCCTATAAAGAAATAGTTAATAATATTTTGATCTCTAAAATGAGGAAAAGAGGTGGACAAACAGGGTGTTTTTACCCTGAGCACTATTGTTAAAAGCTCTTTCTTCGTTTTTAGGCATTTTGAAGCTTGTATTATTATCATATTTTAGCTGACAAGAAGAATTTGTAAAGTTTAGGCAATTCCAAGTCAAATAGAGTTATTTGGAAAATGCACATATAGCTATCAATTTGTTGTCTATGATTGATATTCTTTAACTTGAACTGATGAGTGGTGACAAGTACTTGTATTTATTCATCAGGCATTTGCAAGGATTGAAAACCACTATTTCGTGAACAAGGGATTCTTCTCCTCAGATTCATTCCTGTTGGACAGAATTGATAAAATAAGGCATATCAACACCACAATCGTGCAGGTAAATAACTTTGTGCTGTATCCTTTAAAATGTAGACTCTAATGTTCTTCATTCTTAACTTTGTAGGGAAGATATGACGTTTGCTGTCCAATAATGTCAGCCTGGGATCTTCATAAAGCTTGGCCTGAGGCAGATTTTCGGGTGAGACTATAGTGTTGGTTTTCTTTGCATGTTATGATATCTCTGAAGTTTCAGGATACAGATCTTAGTCCTAATAGTATTTTCTGAGATATAGACCTCTAGCTGAAAATGCCAAAGGATGAGTTTTTCCTTCTTATCAAGAAACTCATACAAGCAGTTAATAACAATTACTAACACTTTTTTCCTTGCAATTTTAATTTCATATAATCTTGTGCAAAACATGGTCAATTTACTGAATCATACTATGAAACAGGTGGTTCCAGATGCAGGACATTCAGCCAATGAACCAGGCATAGCTGCTGAACTTGTGGCTGCAAATGAGAAATTTAAAAACATAACCAAGAAATAAAGGGGACTGAAGTGAGTGGGCAAACAAAAAGGAAAACGCTGCGGTTATCAGATATTCTGCAACATTCATCTATAATCAGTTTGTTGTCTACAAGGAAAATATTGCAGTATTTTCTAAACACTACTTGTCTTCATCATTGTGAAAATAAAGACATCTACAATAAACATATACCACCAAAAAGAATCAAATCATGTTATTACACAAAATCAAACAAACTGAGGCCAATAAACATCTACAATAAACATATATCACCAAAAAGAATCAAATCATGTTATTACACAAAATCAAACAAACTGAGGCCAATAAAGTCTTGTACAAATGAATCATCTATCTCTCGTAAATTACAACAAACACACCTCTTTCATATTATCGTTTTTTCCGAACATACATAAAATTCAATGATAATATTGAACAAACCTCCACCCCTCCCAAGAAAGACTAAGTCTGTTTCCTTGTGGTGCAGCCCTTCGGTACATGGAGACACTGAAACTTTGGTTCCTTAGGAACAGTTAATGGCCTTCTTTCTCGTGAATAGAACCTAGAAGTTGAACCCGTAGTTTTACTTGTTAGTGAAGCAACGTCATTTTTACGTGGCTTTGCTGCTTCTTTTGGCTTCTTCACAATGTCTAACGGCTTTTCAATGATAACACTAAGTTTTGTTGCAACGACAACTTTTTCTTTCTTCCTTGACAAAGCACTGCAATAAACACTTCCATTATTGAATTTCCAAATACAACTATAATCAATCATGTGAACACAAAGTGTGTGACAAACTGATTATTACTACTTACTTTCGAGGCCTCACAACTTTACGTTGCATCATTTGGGATTTTCTTTTACAGTTGTCATCCAGCTCAATGGGTTTCTGAAGTTTAGTACCAGGATTTCTCTGAGGCGTTGTGGCTGATAATTTACGTAGCACCTTGCAGTTGGTTTTGTCACTTTGAATACTCCCCTACATAAAGTTTTGGGAAGTTTTAGCCACTATCTCTAATAAAAACTCGTTAAGCAGTAATATTTCAGGTGATGATATCTTCTTTTCCCCTGTGCATGAACTTACAGATTGGTTTTCTTGGGCTTGGTTTGATTTCTCATCACAGCTGCTATAATTATCAGTGTCTTGTTCACTTTGTGCAGAACAAGTTTCACTTTTCTTCTGAAAGGAAGGGGAAAAAATGGAGAAAATTTAGGTATTCAATGCTAATAATGACCGTAACAATTTGAGGTTAACAATGAAACTCACTCTGTTTACAGCCTGATGTTTCCTCACCGTGGTTTCTTTCAAGGGTGAGGGAATCCCTTTATCCAAATTTGCTTCTTTTAGAATTCCCCTTTCCTGCAGCATAAAAAATAAAATGAATTATACTAATCAAACTAACTTCTTTCTAAAGAAATAAACCAACTAAATTATACTTGATATCAAACTAACTTCTTTCTAAACAAATAAACCAACTAAAGCAGAATCCGAATCTCTTACGTCGGTTCTCAGCTTGAAGGGCTTAGGATTTGTGGGCTTTAATTTTCTGTATTTTACAGCATGAGAAGCAGCTGAGATCAATGAAGATTTCTGTTTCAAGGTCATACCCATAAAGACTCAAGTCAAATCACTGACACAGGTGTGAGAGAAAATAACATCAATGAGATTCTAAACTGGACCAAACCTTGTGTATTTTCCTCGAATCCTCATGCTTGCTCCCAATAATAGCCTTTTTCCGGTCTTCATTATTGGTACTCATCACTCTGCAGGCACCCAGAATTGGTCGGTTTCATTAAGTTTAAGAGGAGTGACAGACATTTTGAGAGAAATCAAATTCCTTACATGTTCTCATCAGAGGCTGAAGCATTTTCCTTGTCATCGTTCTCATTGAGTTGCCTATGATTTTCTTTGTCATCAGAAGCCATTGAATTTTCTTCAGCCTTTCTCTTTTTGGCTTCAGGAACTTTTCCCTTATCTGAAACCGAGTTCCTTCTCTCTTCAATTTCATTCCCTTCTGTAGTCTTGTTCTCTTCGTTTGAACTTGACATAGAGAGTGAGGTAATGCCACCTCTAGGAGCTTCTGATAAAATTAGAACTGAACTCTTTCCGCTTATTGGTTCTTGGGACTTTTCAGCTCCCAGAGACAGTTCACTAACACTTCCTGAATTTCCTGATTCATGGCATCTTTCTAGAGAACCAGACCTTGATTTTTCATCTATCTCCATGTCACTGGACTCATTTTCATGAGCCACATTTGCCTGTCTTTTAAGCATGCCTTTAACCTTCGTCTCCTTCAAACATCTCACAGTATTAGTTTCAGATCCCTTGCGATTAGTAGAACACAAGGAATCAAACACACGGCTCTTAACCTCTCGACCCTTGAATTGCTTTCTGGATCCAGCTACTGACAATGAGCTGTTACCTCCTTCTCCATTCTTCTTTGCTCCATTGAGTTCAAGCTTCTTCATTGCTGAACACAATGCTCTCATAGGTGTCTTTAATTCTACAGAACTCTTGGTCTTTACCAACTTCTTTGGTGAATGAAAAACCAAAGCCTTTGCCACCACTCTTCCCTTAGGCACAACAACAGCCGTTGGTTTCTTGCCCTGAACGCTTCTAAATTGTTCAATATTGGAAACCTTCTTCTGATTCCTCGGAGTAGTCAAGGCCTTGGCCACAGAAGGTGCTTGCTTCACCTTAGCATTTGGGGTTGCAGCAACCTTGGAAAGAGGTTTAGCAACCTTCACGCTGTTATCAGTGATCTTGTGTTGTGACAAGGAGGAAACCAAGGCCAACCTGGAGACCCTTGACTTTGACTTTGCAGGAGCTGTTCGGGGACACTTCAAATTTGCACTGAAAAACAGCAAAATTGAGAATGAGAAATCGTTTTACTTAGAAAGCGTTAAGAAATAGGTAATTAGTCAATTTGAACCTCGCTTCTCTTGTGTTAAACACTTTTCTGAGACGCACATTTGGACTTCTAGCTGCCATAACCTGAAAATAAAATATTCATATATTTTCAGGTTCATTCTGAGAGAATCATTGATTGAAGAAGATAAGAAGAGGGAGGAGCGAACCCGAAGAACAAAGTTTTTGTAAATTGCTTCAGAGTCCAAGTCTTGTTCATGATTTTGGTCACATCCTGTTGGTGTTGGTTAGAGTCAGAAAATAATAACAGTACAATAGAAGCCAAGTAAGGTGAAATAAATTGGACAAAGAAAGAAGAGAAATTACCAACGCGGAAGCAGAACCAGTGGCGGTCATCGTCAGGGCGGCGATTATCAGGTGCGGTGAAGTCCACGAACTTAGGTGCTTCAATCTTCTCGTAGAAATCTTCGTCTATTTCCCTCTCTTCTTCAATAATTGGCAAACTCTGAGTTTCCGCCATAAGTTGAGAGTAGCGCGTGTTGCTTTTGCTTTTGCTTTGATGGCAACGCGATTAAGGTGGTGTTGTTTTGTACTGTTTTGTAATGATAACGTGACATAACACTTCGGTTTTCTAGCAGACACTTTTAAAACAAAACCCTCTGCAACTAGCCGTTACAATTCCGACAGCCTGGTAAGTGAGAAACGGCATGCAAAGGGTTCTTTTGTCATTTGCAATTGCACGTATTTACTTTTTAAAATATAAACAAATGTTTACAATAAAATTATGTATCTATTATTCAATTAATTTGAAATTTAATATAGATGATTCAATGAATTAATAAAATTTAATGGTTTATAAAAGTTATTAAATAGAATAAATATTCAGAACTTACTTTTATAACAATAAGATTCTATATTTATTAATAGTTATAATTTAAAAGTTCTTTTTTAAATTTTAATTAAATTAAGTATACGACGTCGAGACAGAAATTTTGCATGCCCATTGCTCTCAAAATTTAGAAGTTTTATTCTTTCAATCTTGTCCACGTTTTAAAAATTTTTGTGCTATCATTATTCATAACTAATATTAGTAATTGACCATCCAAATTTATAAAATATTATTGAGATAAAACTCATGCTAATAAACATTGAATTCTCTTTATCTCAATTTTTTTTTAATATTGTCTCTCTCTCTCTTTTTTATTATTCATTTATTCTTAATTTTTTTTATAAACTATAATCTAATTAAGGGTAAATTTTACTTATGATATGAATGGTTGGTAACCAGTCATGGGTTCTATATATTTTTATTAAATAAAATGTTAAAAAACTATCATAAATTAGATTCTATCTACTAAATTACATTTTAATAATTTAGATCTAAAATAAATAAAGGACATGTATTTACAAGACCTTACCAAAATGAATTACAAAAATTTTAATTGAAATACATGTTAAAACTTGATAAATATGTACGTGCATTACATGGGTTTGTTTATATTTTTATTAAATTATTTTATTTAAAATATTTTAAAATAATTATATTATATATATAAAAACATTAAAAATCATAATATATTTTTTATTATTTTGTAAATAAATTAATTAAAATCATCATCATGGATAATTTTACAAAAAAATACTAAATATTAGTTTAATATAAATATAGAAAGATTATATAATAATGAGTGAAAATAAAATTATATTAATTTTTAATATTTTATTGTAATAGAAAATAAATTAATTTACAAAACTATCAAATTAAAAAATTACAATATATATTTTTTATTAGTTCAAAAATAAACTATTTTACAAAAATACCATGCATATAAACTTATAATAATAAAATACACGTTTTTAATTTTTTTTACTTTAATTATAAATTAATAGATAACAGTAAATAAATTAATTTAAAATGCTAGATTAAATCAACATGTAGATTAAGTAAAAATTAAATATAAAAATATATTATTATCGTCATAATTTTTTTAAATGATACTAAGTATGATTTCAATATAAAAATATATTATTATCAATTTATATTTTTTATTATTATAAAAATAAATCAGTTTATAAAACTATTGTACATATAAATTGATAATAATATAATATATATTCTTAAATTTTATGTTTAGTTGTTAATCAATACATAAGTATTAAAATAATAATTAAAGAAAATAAATTTTGAAAAAAATGAAATGAAATGAAACAATAAAAAAATTTAAAATTTTAAAAATATTTTATATTATTTAATCTAATGTAATTATTTTTCATGATAAATTTAGAAATAAATTAGTGTACAAAATTAATTTTTTTGCTAATGTTTACAAAATTAATTTACCAGTTAGGGTTTGATTGGAGATTATAAGTTAAGCTAAAACAAATTTTACCGGTTAGTCCACATGTTAAATACTAAATTGAAAGAAACGCATGGGATAAATTATACATAAGTACGGAAAGTGTATATTATTTTATTATTATCAAAGTTTTTTATAAAAAAAATACAAATATAATTTCAATATAAATATAGTAACAAGTACAAATTAAAGCATATTAATTTTTTATTTTTTATTATTATAAAAAAAATTAATTTACAAAATTTTCAAACATATAAATTGATAATAATATAATATATATGCCTAATTTTTTAGTTTAGTCCTTGATCAATATAAAAACATAAAAAATAATAATTAAAAAATATTATAAGGAACGTGAAAGTAAAAATAGTAGATTTTATTAATTTTAACATTTAAAAAATATTTATATTATTTGATGTTATGAAAATTTTTTTGTTATAATAAATTTTAAAAACAAATTAAATATGTTAAGTAATTTATTAAATATGTCCATGTGTTACACAAGTTTGTTTATATTTTTTATGAAATTATTTTATTTAAAAAATAATTAGAAAGAATTATATTTTAAATAAAAATATATATATTTTTTAAAGAAATATTGTAATATGTTTTTCTATATATTTTTAATTGATTTGAAAATAAATTAGATACAAAATTATCATGCATATAAATTTATAATAATAAAATTGATATTCTAAATTTTTTTCACTTTAGTTATTGATTATTAGATAAAATTAAATAAATAAGTTTAAAATACTAAATTAAAAGGAACATGTTAGATAAATTAAACAAAAGTAAAGAAAATGCATATTATTTTATTATTATCAGAAAAATTTTAAGAATTACACAAAAATATAATTTTAAAATATATACATCAAAAATTATATGGTAACGAGTGCAAATAAAAGTATATTATTTTTTATTATTATGAAAAATAAATATATTTTACAAAACTATTAAACATGCAAATTGATAGTAATTGAATGCATATTATTAATTTTTAAGTCTAGTTGTTAAATAATATGTAAAAATAAAAATTAAAAATTAAAAATAGATTAAATGAAAGTAAAAATAAACAGTATAAAATTTATTAATTTTAAAAAATAGTTTATATATTAATATTATAGCAAAAAAAAAATAGTTTATAATACTTGATTGTCTAATAAAACTAATGGTCATGATAAAATTTTAAAATAAATTAAACATATTAAGTAATTTATTAAGTAAAATGAATTTTTTTTATATTTTTAGTAAATTATATTGTTTTAAAATAATTATATTTAAAAAATTATTATAATAAAATAATAAATTTAATATTGAAGTAATAATATATAGTAATAACAAGATAATATATATATATATATATATATATATATATATAATTAAACGTCTTAATAAAACGTGAAAATGTTGGTCATATTTTTTTAAAATTCTATAAAATTTAAAAAAATTATACAATAATTTTATGACAATTCTTCAATTTTCTAATTCTTCCAATGTTGACTTTGTTTAACATAGTTTTTTTTTTTTGTTCAAACTACTGCTTAAAAGAAAATGTAAATTATGAATTATTGTATAAAATTTACTTGAAATTTACTTGTTAGTTTTAAATATATTTTTATTTTGGTACTTAAAATTTTCAAAGTCCTTTCTTTCTCAACTTTTAAATCTAAAAATAATAAAAATAAGGTTGTTCCTCTTTATATTATAAACAAAAATAAAAAAATTACAATATTATTTTATTTATTGGCTTCAAAATTTTATTTGCTATGAAATTTTGTATTTCATATTTTCAAGGTAACTATTCATTTTTATTTAGAAAAAAATGTGAAGTGCTTATAATATTTAAAGACTATACTTTCATTTTGGTCTCGCATAAGCGTGAGACAATTTAGTTATTGAAATATTAAAATAATTTTTGACTTTTATTTTTGTCAAACATTTTAATTTCTTGATATTATTGATAGACAATAATAGAATGCTGACATATCACGTTAAGTTAAGTAATACGTATAAGCTAATTTGACGATAAATGACATCATTTTACTTATTCAAATTAGGATATATGAGAAAAAAATTGTTATTCAAAAGTTTTCTACTTCCCTCTTCCACTAAAGACCCCTAATTTTTTATAGTCTTAGGTCTTTTTTCTTCTCTAATCATGTAGATTATGTTTAAGTGATACATCACTTCTACACATGAAAAGATTGTAGATTGTGTTTAAGAGGTTTTCAATTATGGTATTGTAGAATGTGATTGTGATGGTGTTGAAATGAAGGGTGATTTCTAAGGTTTGATGAGTAAGTATTATTGATAGTTTATAAAATTTGTAAAAAAATTTAGAAAACTCAAAAAGCTTTTATATGATTTTGTAGTTAGGATGTTGAAAGAAAGTATTCAAGATTATGTGTGAATGCTCCCTTTGAAATTTGTGCTAAGTACTTCAACCTTTGAAGTTCATAGAACTCCAACACCTTCACCCTGTTTCTTTTTTCCTTCCAACTTAGCTTGCACCCATACTTGTCAACGATGATTTCTTAAACTCAAAATTTTTCATTCTATTCGAGTTTTCAATATTAACATACCTAATTACTTTATGCTAATTATCTCAAGGACTAAAATATAAATTTAGTCAATATTTAAAAATTGTAAAAGTAACTTCAAGTTATTACCATCATTTTATAAAAAAAAAAATTATCATATAAAGATAGGTATAAATTTTTATTTATTTTATTTATATCATCAATTATGTGGTTAGATTTTTAAGTTAATTAATTTTTTATATATTTATTTACAATTTCAAATGTTATAATAAAGTCCTTTGATACTAATTATTTAACAACTTTAATAAATAAAATAAACATAGTTGAATCAAAAGAATACTCAACATCAGTTTAAGATGGAACTAATAATGTATATAATTTTTTTAAAATATAATATAATGTTAATATTAAAACACATAAAATTATAATTATATTAACAAACTAATTATTTTATTATTGAATACTTAACATCTTTATAACAACTTTTACATTTAAAATTTTAAATTGTGAAACAGACATTTTTCTTGTAGTTGAGGTAAAAAATATAAAATTAACTATTTTTTTATATTAAATTAACTATTTTTTAGCAATATATTGTTGAAAGTTATAATACAATAAAT